CATTTTCAGAGATTGAACAGCTCCATGTAGCTAGTAAAGGAACCTTTTAATTTTGAACCTCAACTGGTCCCAAATAAATACTCAATTTTACCTCTATTATCTAAAAGAAAATAACATTTATGAATTGTGTCCTAGGCACCTTCTTTGGCCTTTTCCATCCATTGTCTCCTTTAATTCTCTGCAAATTTCTATGAGATACATTGTACTCATTTATAAATGAATAATTTGGCAAGGTCACAAAGCTAATAAAGCAGACCAAGGATTTGGCCCAGATCTAAGTACAAATTGATTGTCTCACCAAATTATCTTCCTTCCTCAAATCCTAGGGAACCTGGTGTTCACATTTTGGGGACTGGCTACTACTACTGTATCTTTTTTTTAACCTTAATAGGAACTTCTAGTCCATTGATCCCTTAGCCTTCTCTTCTCCACATCCTTATGCAGCTTGTAGACATCACACCTAAAGTAGTATTACTAGTACCCTACCTTAGCCCCATTAGTTTAATCTTGTCCATTAAAAAAATAGTAATATGCCTTTTAAGTCTCTTAATCTACATGCTTTTCGTCAATCCCTTTTTTCTCCTTATAATGTATCTGCTGAAGGATGTTAGCAGGTTGATTTGTAGTGTTTTCCACAGTTTGGATTTTGCTTATTATCATATTTGTATAGTTTGATGTGTTCCTCTTTATAATTCCTGCAAATTTACAGCTGTATCCAGAGGCTTTATCAGGCTATGATTTAATCCCTTTGACAAGACTATAGATAATGTTGCATTCATTTATCAGGAGGCATATAATGTCTGGTTTTTGGTGTTTTTTTTAATAATAGCAGTCATTAGTGCTCAGTGCCTAGATCTGTTACTTCATTGGAGATTGCATAACAGTGATATTTTAATTTTATTTTCATATATTAGCTGGAATAATTTTATAAAGCCAGCCTTTCCTTTATCTACTATTAAGTTACTTTGTGGTATATTTCATATAGGAAAGGCAGAATAAATCTTTGATTCTTTCCTTTATCCAGTTTTCAAAGTGATGAATTGGTTCTCTGTCATCCTTAGGTGACAGGTTAGTTTTCTTTTTAAAATATCATTATCAACTGATATATTTAAATTACTTGAGAGCCGGCTGAGTGACGCGTTATTTAAGAGCTGGCTTGGGACGCCAGCTCTGAGCAGCAGGGCTCCGGTTTGGATCCCACATGAGGGCCAGCGACACTACCCTCTATAGCTAAATGGTGAGCAGCAGCTCGACCTGGAGCTGGGCTGCCATGAGTC